TCTCATGGCCTCCTATTAATATCCCATTAACATATCTTAGTAAGTTGTGGCCACACATTATTTTTAAAGAAGAGCAGGGCCCTGTGAAGTATGGAACTAATGTCTAAAGGTACCTGACTGTAACGTGTGCCTCAGTTTCAGATGAATAAAATCTGCCTCGACTCTTTACTCTTTCATGTTGATGTGATGTATTTTATTCATGTTTGAACTCATTTGAATGGTCATTTTTCCAGTGTGTGAGTGTTTCAGAGAGGTTCTGCGTCTCCTTCACAGCCCTTTCTGCGTTTTTCACCAAAGGCTACTGTTTGGAGTTTAATGTGTTAGATTACAATCCTTTGATAAGGTAACTGACCTCACTTATGTCCGGCCCCCGTCTCCGGGTGGGTAGATCAGAGACAATGCCGAGAGGCCCCCCTTCATCCCTGAGGCCTGGGCTATTATTAGCATGCTGACGCAGGTGCTGTAACGCGTCACGTCTGATAGCCACAACAACATTGTGTGACCAGGACAGCTCCTGTTGCCGGGGGAACAGGGAGTGATTAAAAACTACTGGAGGCCTGTGATGCTCCACCCCATCCAGTCTCTTATCATCATCATCGCTCAAATGAACCCCCCCCACTTCTGACTCTCTGTGAGTGAATGAACACTTTCACACACATGAGGCTCTCTCTCTCTCTCTCTCTCTCTCTCTCGCTCATCATTTGCATAGTAAAATGGGTCTATGCATGGTGAAATGGTTCTTTAGATTGATGGAGATTTCTATATTGTATATGGTTCTAGGTAGCACCAAAAAGGGTTCTGCTATTGTTATGATGTCAACCTTGTATACAATAGAAGAACCCCCATAGAACCTTTTTCAAAACGTTTATACATAGAACCATAAACTACACATTCTTCATTAATCTGAAGAACAATTTCACCAAGCAGAGAACCGTTTAAGCATGAAAATGATTCTTTGTGTGTTCTTGATCCTACGTAGAACCATTGTCATTGACGTGGCTGCCTAAAGTAACACTAACTACAACCCCAAGAAAACCTCCCCATACAGATAATAAACGTGTAATGAGTATTTATCAAATACATCACAGAATGTATTAAACTGGCCATTTTTTGTATTTGCTTAATTTACTTTAGTGATTAGACGACAATTTGGAATTAAAAAAACTCACATCTGCCCTCCACGGAAAATAAATACAGAATTATTCAGATCTTAGACATTCACAGAAATTCTGTTCTAATCTTATTTCAACCCAAGATATTAATAAAGATAGTAGTAAGGTAAAAATAAACACACTCATCATTCATAGGATACTTTCTACTGAAAAACTTTCCCTTTTCTTAAAACATCTAATTTGAAAACATTTTCAACTTTTTCATTTCTTTAAAAGAGAAAGATTTAGATTTATTACAAGTTTAATATTTTAAATTTAAAAAAAGCTCATGTCACTACTGAAACACAGTTTTACTCAGTAGGTGGGGCCTTGTTTTAGCCCCACCCCTGCATGTCAGAGCAGGAAGTGAGGCTGCATCCCTGTCCCTCATGGCCACATGGTGAGCAGGTAGATCCCATTGTTTTGAAGTAAATGTGTCCCAAAGTCTGAAAATCAGTGTGGAACATTAAGAATCGCCATATTTTCTGCAGTTCAGCACTTTCTAGTGTTTTAGTGTAAAATATGATGATTTTCTGTGTGAACAGCTGTTCAAAGCTGTGTTTGATAGTCATGTGATCTCTACGCTGTAATCCCACGTTTTTAATTAAGTCTGTTGTACATAAAACTGAATATATCCCACATATTACTCAGCTGTTTTACATTTAGGGAACGTTTCTGATGATTTTGTACATTTAAATGGCATTTACGAGTTGAATGAACTCACTGCAGTTTAGTTGCAGTTAGTTGTTTTTATCTATGAGATATAAAATATTGTGTTTTTGTTTTCTGCAGAGATAAACATCTGATCTGTTGCCATGGCAGCTTTGAAATCGCCACATTCAGAAACTGAAGCTGCTCTGCTGTTGTTTAATCGATTCTCTCTCATTAAAGTTACTCAACAAATGTGTGTAACTGAGTGAGACTCACTGAGCTGCTGTTTGAGTGAAACACAGTGACATTTATTTTGTTAACACAGTCCTGTTGGGTGCAACTTCCTTCTTTCCCATTGGCTCCCGGCTCCAGCTATTTGCATATTGAGCTTCTTTACCTTTGATTTACTCACTATTAGCATGTTTTCATTCCACCCAGCCTGCCTTTCCTCAGGCGTCTGCTGTTCATATATGCTTTACTCAGCAGCCTGACCTGGAGTTTTAGCTAACAGGGTGGGTTATCGTTCTCTCTGCTGCTGAGTGGGGGTCCGTGCTGGTGGGTGACCCTTCAGTGTTGGGCAAAGTGCTCAATATCACAAAATGTTTCTTAATTATCTCTTGAAATGTATAATTAAATTGGGATTTAAGGTTTGACTAACTCACAAACTTAAATTAAAATAATTTGAATTTTTGAGTTGCATAAACAGCATTTACGTTAATCTAACACAACTTTTTTGTTTTTCTAACATGCACTGATTGGTATTTTAAGTGTATTGAACTTAGATTTGCTGGTTTGTTCACCAAAGCTTAACTTAATTTTGTTAGGGCAACAGATCACCTCAAATTTTTTAAGTTATGAGAGCTTATTTGGGTTTACACTGTAAAAATGGCTCAGTTCAGCCTAAAAAATGACTTCATGTGGTAACAAGTTAATTAACTCGTTTTATTCAGCCCAAATAAATACTTAAATGAACGATTCTTTAAATCAGTGTAGTTTTTTTAGTTCACTTTTTTTGACCATATAAAGTCATTTTTAGGTTGAAGTGGTGAGTCAGTGTTTAGAGTTGTGGTCAAATTGAGCTAAAATTGTCATCCCCAAACAGTCACTACTGCCACATTTGGTAAAGTTTGGGTAGAGTTGACTGTTTTGGTTATGACTAAATGGAACATAGTAGAGCAGAAGGAGTTTAGTCTAAGATCAGTAATAAATCCCAAGTGTGTTTCAGCTCTTACTTTGAGCCAGTTCAGGAGACTAGCCCTGATATGTCTTTTGCATTTGTCTTTATCTTTAAGATATGCAGACTCGAGTGTATGTGCAGTGATAAACATCTGATCCTGATTCTGGTCTTTGTTTTATTTTTTCCTATCGCTAAAATAATGCAACGTTTCACTAGCATCTCTATGGGAATCACTATACAGTATTAGCATCAAGCTAACTGAGGTGTACTTTCATTCTTTGTTTTGCAGTATTTTATAGCTTTACTATTTTTTTTTTTACTGTTTTATTGATGGAGCCTGTTGGCCTGTTAGCTATCTGAGCGTTCTGCTGTATTCTTATGTTTAGTATGTTTTCAGACACTTTGTATATATGTATGTGTATCGCTGCTGTTGGAAGAAAATATCACATCTCCATTTTTGACATTTTTTCAGTTTTTTACATAATTTGAAAATACATGTTACCTTTTACATCATATGTAAATTTCATGGTGAATGGACTAAAAGAAATGACCTAAAATTATTTGGGAAAAAGTCTGGTTTCATTGACTTACATGAAAAGTACAGCAGGTTTTTTCCTTCTCCTGTAAAGTTACCAATTTTGGAGATACGAGGTTTTCTTCCGACAACAGTGAAATACAGTTTGTGACTGTAATAAGTCATATATATTATACAGTGTACTCTGTATAATGTACATTTATTTTAGCCTTTTCAGATACCTGAAGTAAGCCATATGAACACTGAGATGAGTTTAGATTTTCGTGTTTTCATTTATTCATATGAAACAATACTTTGGAGAGTTTATAATAGGTTATATATATACCTATAATTAAAACTGTACACATGTGAAATGTCCAGTTACAGCCCGTAACTTGTGAGGAAATTTCTCTTTAATATGGGTTCATCTCTTTAGGTTTTCTCTAATTTTATTTATTACACAGTCAATTGTATCACTTTTTTATACTCATAAATCACTACTGTCCAAAAATAGCATCTCAAAAAGAACAGCTTTATAGGAGAAGGCAAAAACGTTCTTCAAGTTAATGTAAAGAGGCTTTATTTTGAGTAATTTTGGAGCATATAAACTAAAATTAGTTGACTCTAAATTAGTTAAACTCTAATCGTTTAATGCATGCTAGCCGTTCTGTTAACGTTCATGGCTCCAGACTGATAAAACCTGAACACTAAACTCCATCATGGTGAAAATAACAATCATGTAAAATGCAAACTTCACATTTAACATGAGAGAATGCTCTGACACGAAAATAACATTTTACAGAGAGAATTATATTCATAAATTAAAAAAACAAGAGTTGATTAACAGAAAATAACAATAATAAAAAGGAAAATGTTTGGGTAAAAGACTCTTCGGTCTGTAGGAGTGATCCAGATTAACTGATTTTAACTAGATTTACCAGATTAGGATTATGTACAAGAAATAGTCTTATAATAAGCTAATTTGAACAAATAAGTAAAGTGAACCCATAAACTTAGTGCAATTGTTATGTTTATAGTGTATTGGTCATTCATCTCACAAGATACAGTATTTAAATAAGGTTGGAATATTAAAATAAAAAAAACTGCAGGTGCATGTTTTTTTTTCAGTGATGACACCTTTATTGCTACTTTATCATATTTACATTTTTTATTTTATTTTTTACTTTTAGAATTTGTTCACATATAAAGCACTTTTCTGCTCTGTATTAATGTATAAAACCTGCCTTATAAAAAAGTTTATTATTATTTTTATTAGAATTAGTATTTTTCATTATTTTTCTGCAAGTGCTTTCTCTCTCTAGCGCTGCCATTGGCTGGCCTCGCTAATACATTCAGTTGCGTCGACCAATGAGCGCACCGCACCCTGTGACGCAGGTGAAGTGGGCGTGTGCAGCAGGGCCAGCGCTCTGACAGCCGGTCAGCCAATCAGGCTGCGTATGTTAATCCGAGCTCGTTTAAAGCGCTTTGAGCTCGCGGAGCAGGCAGAGTTGATTGAACAGCTGACCCAGGCGGAGTGGATTTTGGGGGCGGTTCGGTTTTTTGGTCTTTTTTAAAACATTTTTAGCGATGTTTCAACTTTATTGACGTTTCTGGGTGCCGAGCCGAGCCGAGCCGAGCCGAGCTGAGCCGAGTCGAGTCGAGCTGGGAATTGTAACCGAGGGGGTCTGAGCCCACACCGAGCTTCGCCTTCCTCGCAGCCTTTTCGCTTATTCTCCCCGGAGAACTTAGCTGGCCATGTCCTCGGCGGAGGGATCTGGGTCTGAGCAGAGCCGGAGGTTTTGCGTCCTGTCCTGGGAGCAGGTGCAGCGATTGGACTCCATCCTGGGCGAAAGTGTGCCCATCCACGGGCGCGGAAACTTCCCCACGCTCTCCGTCCAGCCCAGGCAGATCGTACAGGTCAGGAACCATGGTCAGATGCCCTCAGAAGCTCAGCCCAGACGGCTGTAGACATTGCTTAAAGTTGGCTTACTTTTTGGCCTGCTTCTGTCGTTGGAACTCTCCGTTCCACCTTAAATGGTGCAGCAGTTACATTCTGGCAACCCAGGCGCAAGAATGTAACTGTTGCACTATTTAAGGTGGAACGGAAAGTTCCATGAAAAAGAAGCTGGCCAAAAAAAGCTGTGAAACTGCTACACCATTTAAGGTGGAACGGAAAGTTCCAAAGAAGTAGCTGGCCAAAAAAAGAAGCTGCAGCCCCATTTAAGGTGGAACTGAAAGTTCCAAAAAGAATGATGCTTTTTTTTTTTCTTGTTCTTTATCAATGCTTACTTGATGCTCAGTGCTCGACCCCCACTGAAAAAGTTCTTCCATAGACTGACTAGAACATCCAGATGGTTCTTCAAGTGTTCTTTAGTAAAGGCAATGGTCCTATTACCATACAGGGTCCTTTCATGCTTAAATGGTTTTTCACTGTGATGGAATGGTTCTTCAGATTGATGGAGAATGTGCTGTATACGTTTCCATATAGAACCTTTTTGAAAATAGTTCTATATAGCACCAAAAGGGGTTCTGCTGTTGTTAGACTTACACTTTTTGGGTGCCACATCAATCTGAGGACCTGTTTTACCATCCCAAATCATTCAAGCATGCGAATGGTTCTATATAGACCTCATAGTTCTCAACAGAACCATTTCATTTACTAAAGAACCCTTGAAGAACCATCTCTTTTAAGAGTGTAGAAAGACATCATTATTATTATTGAGATAGATCAGTTAATAGAGATATTAGAGAGTCCAGTCTTTTCCAGGTTTGAGGAAAAAAAAAGTTCTGTTGTTCTTGGTTGGGTTCCAGCTGTTATTGCGCAATCGCTTTTCCGACTTAATCGATTTGCCGTCCGGCATCCGGAGAGACTCTCAGGCAGCTACTGTTTGTCCAGTCTCTCATAAAAGATGACATATTTGTGCAGCAGAGGGACAGCTCCGTCGGAAACGGCCACGTGTGATGTTTAGATTATCACACAGGCTGTCTCCATTGTTCTCCAGGGCAAGTTCTGACCCAAAAGTATCCGGACAGCCCTTAAAATGAGTAAATTCAGCCACTTTAGTTGTAATTTAATGCCTTGCCTCGCCTCATTGCCCTTAGCAGCAACAGAACGTATCACAGCATTGAATCTAGAGATGCACCGATACCACTTTTCACCCTCCGATACCGATATTTGATCCTCATATCCTCGACTCTAAAGGTGCATATAAAGATGCTTCTTCAAAGGTGTTTAATTAAAGACAGTGGTTCTATATACCATGAACACTCACCTCATCAAGATCCACATGCATGCTTAAATGGTTCTTGCAATGATTCTATACAGCACCAAAAAGGGTTCTGTTGTTACAGGCTTGACATCATAACAATAGAAGAACCCTTTTGGATGCTATATAGAACCCTTTTCCAAATGTTTTTTATAGAACCATCTACAGCACATTCTCCATCAATCTGAAGAACCATTTAATGATGAAAAGAACCCATTAATCATGCAAAGGGTCCTTTGAGTTTTCATGGTTCCATACAGAGCCATCTTCTTTACTAACCATCTTGAAGAACCATCATTTTTAAGAGTGTAATGTATACAAGCTTGACATTGTAGCAATAGCAGATGCCTATTCATAAACATTCTATGTAGAACCATATGCAAGTGTTCATGGTTTCACATAGAACCACTGGCTTTACTGAAGAGCACACTTTTTAAATATGTTATATTGGTGTTCCGAGTCATAAATAATAACATGCAGTGTTTTTATTTTTTTAAACATAAAATGTGGGTTTATATTTTACATTGAAACATAAAATATAAAATGTGCCATTACTTTTTCACACACCTTTTTATGTTAAATTAAATGAGCAGTAACTGTGTGTAAAATGTGCAGCAGTGTGATCTCTGTAGAGTGTGTGTTCACTTATTTACACAAAACACAGAGTTTGACTGGGGGCGCCCAAACTTTTGCACACCATTGTATTAAGGCCTAAAGATATGGTGTTTACTGGTTTTCTCGATGGACACTGGTGACAGAATGTGAGATGCATTGCTCTTGACAAAGGATCTAAAAAGAGTCTTTAATTATTATTCAATAATTTAAGTATTTCAGGTTAAAATTTAATTAATTTAATTTTCAATTTAAACACCCAAAACTTTGGGTCTCTTCAGGGCCCTTGGAAATCTAATCTTTGCCCTACCACCAACCCCCACCCTGCACCCCCCACCCCCTCTCCCTTCACAGTGCCCCTGCCTTTAACCCTTTATTGCACAGTGTTGCCTCAGGGCAACAAATCCATTTTCTGTGTTTACAAAGACATAATACTAATTTAATGACAATGAAAGGGTTAATAATGAAGGGAAAGTTTGAATAAACCAATAAAGTTCTTGCACTTGGTCACATCGTCTACTGGTGGGCTTTTTTTAAAAATGTGTTTCTGGCTCAGTGTAGGTTGCAAGTGAGACATTTCTTCACTGGACAGTTTCCAGCAGAAGAAAGAAGTTTTCATCATTTTTCATTCCACCAAACGTCTACTAAACGTATGAAGTTCATATTCAGTGTTATCTAAGTTACACTACACTCAGAAGCTGCTAAAACATCTTTGTTGCCTAAAAGCAACATTGCATTACTAAAACTACTTTTTATTTGTATTTTTACAACTTCTTATATTTTATCCTGATATTAATGGTTATTTATGGTTTTAAGGACTGTTTGGTGTGAATGTGAAAGCAGAAATGTTTTTTTTTTTTTTTGTTGCATTTACAGTTTTTACAGATGAACAGATGGTGTAGTTGCTCAGTTTCCTTCCAGATATTTAAATAAAAAAATCTTTCTTGAATGCCTTATTGCAATAAAATGGTGCCTCAGGGCAACACATGGCAACAAATGGATGTGCGTGCATTATGTTTTAAAAATAGTTTTTAGAGGGTTAAAGTGCACCCGCTGCCTGTACAGTAGAAAAGCACTGACCAATAGAACGGGATGCTCTGGTCACCATACCCAAAGCCAAGCGTGGGCTAGAGAGGTCTAAAGCCCGCCAGGACTGGGCTGTGGAGCAGTGGAACTGTCCTCTGAAGAACGGTTGGACATATAATGTATGTTCCTGTAAACGTACAGTAGCCAAACGTGCCTTTTAACAGTGCACTAACTTATAAAGCCCTCACGCTGCGTATTACGCTATGGCCCTTCATGCGGTTCTGTTTATTTATGGCCGCTCAGATTCAAGGAAGCCTATTCGCATCATTAACATCGACAAAAGATATACGGCACATTTAGTCAGTGGTATAAAAACAGGTTTCATAAAACCTGCCTCTGAGGCAGAAGGGCCGTTTCGGGACGCTTGCAGCAGCATCTGCATTAAACATTAGTGGATCTCCTCAGTAAGACCTTTCCTTCCTCTGTCCACTGATGGAAAACAGAACGCTGCACGTGGAGCTCGGGGCGGTGTGGGTACTGCAGAACGGAGGGTTCTGAGGGAGCTTGAGCGCTTTCAGAGGCAGATCTGTTGAAAGTGCTGATCAGGGGCTGTTAGGGTAGGACGATATTGCGGAAATACAATGTCACGATACTTCAGTCCACTTTTTAATGATGATGCACGAGATGTCAATAAAAACAGACAAAAGAAGCCACATTTTAAAAATACTATCAAAAATGTGTTTTGTTCAAACTCAGCTAATACACTGTGATTCAATTAATATTTCTACACACTGTATTTATAGATTAACCCCTAAAACCACAGTAGCACAAGTATGAGCTTAATTTCTGTTGCAGTTTTAATTGAAAATTAACCATGATATCAAAAGAGAACTGCACAAAACTCTTTAAGCTAAAATACACGTTATTTGAAGTTTTAACTCTATTTTGTTTGTTTTTCCTTTTTTTCTGTTCACTGTTATAAAACTTACAGAGTTACACAGAACCCTTGAAGAACCATCTTTTTTAAGAACGTACATATCTTTACTGTCAGACCTCCAAAAAAGGACCTTTACAGGAGGAAAACATTCTTAATTTTCAGCGTAAGTGAAAGTACTCAGGCATTTCCAGATAATGTAAAAAAAATAAAGAATGACAGAAATGGAGATACAAGGTTTTGTTTAGACAGCGGTGATATATAACTGTGACGTTTACGCCACAAAAAACAAACTCTTCATGAGTGAAACGCTCATATGAAGATGATAAATCTTTTGTTTATTTTGTTTGTTCTATAAAATTGGTTACTATGATCAGTCTTACCTTAATTTATGTAATTTATGGCACAAAACATCCCTCAAACAGGTTTTTATTATTATTATTGTTGTATTATTGTATCAGTAGTTATGATATTAATTCAAGATTTATTCACTTGATTTAAGAAGTAGCTCCCCTTAAATCGTCTCACTTCAGTTGATTAAATTAATGCTATAATTATGCTAATTATTTGCCAGCTTTCCTTTTTTTAATAAGTCATGTTGTTGCTTTAGTACTCAGACCAGAAACAGTAAAAGAAACTTGAAAAGTTCAGGAACAAATTTTAGGTTGGCTTGACAAAGTTGTTGTTATGCTATCCCAGGTGGTTGCTAAGGTGTTGCTAGGATGTTGCTATACTGTTCCAGGTGGTTGCTAAGGAGTTGCTAGAACATTGCTGTGGATCTCTGAGGTACTGTGTTGCACATTTTTCCTCCAGAAACATTCTGGAGAGAACAAGTTGTTCTGCTGTAGCTTTGGGCTGATAGTTGATTGAATAAATGCTGATATTGTACAAATTATCATTCTTTCGTTTGTTTCTAAACTCTGTTTTCATCTTAAACTCATTTTTTCGTGAGTCTTGTTGTTTCTCCACTCAGACTACAAACAGTAAATGACACTAGGAGTGAAAAGTTCATGAACGGAGTTTTAACTCCTCTCTCATCGTCTCACTTCAGGGACTCTGAGGTGGTATTTAAAAGTGTC